ATAGCCACGTGTGCCCCTTGATGGGCCTGCCTGTAGGCCTGGGTCTCCTATCTCCAAAAGCCAGAGATAGGAAGCCAGGATCTGCCGAGGGATATGGAGATGAACTGCCAGACATTTGGGCCTACCCCTTGCCAGCCTTGGGAGAGGGGTGTTAGTGACATGGAGTTGATGCAGACTAGGCCATCAGCGTACAGCCCCAGGGTATCTGGAGAGCTCTTGTTTACACCTCAGGGACCAGATCCCTAGGGGTCCTTTTTTAAATTTCCCATCTCCCTCCTCCCTGGCAGGACAGCTTCTGGAGCCAGGATAGGGATGTTCCAAAAGATCAGAGGTCGAGGAGGAAAGGAAAGCTAACAGGTTTCCTGGGGAGCCTAGCCAGACCAGGGCCAAGCATTAGCTTGGTCCCTGTAGCCAAGAAGGGAATATGGAGCACCCTGAGTACTAGGGCAATCAGAAGGTTTGTTTGTTTGTTTTTTGAGATAGGGTCTTGCTATGTAGTTCAGGCTGGCCTTGAACTCACTATGTAGTCCAGGCTGGCCTCAAACTCAGCAATACTCCTGCTTCAGCCTCCTGAGTGCTGGGATTACAGGCATGCACCACCATGCCTGACACAGAAGGCTTCTTGGAGAAGGAAACATTTGACTGGAGATTTTGTGGAGGGTTTTCCAGGTGAGAGATTGCTAGATCAGGCTCTATCAGGGATAGCTGCCTGCCTGGGCATAAAGAGAACAGTGGTAGAAAGGATAGGGAAGGAAATGAGGGTATGGGGAGGGCCTTGAATCCTATATGAAGGGCCTGGAAGAGACAGAACATATTTGAGCTGTGCTTCTCTAAGCCCAGGGCTCTGAGGAAGCTTTCAGAGAAACTGCTATAACTGGGAAGTGAAAACAGAGAAGACAAGGGGGTAGAGCCCTGGACACTTCCTGCTTCAACCACAGTACTTTTTTTGTTTTTTCGTTTGTGTTTTTTTTTGGTACTGGGGATCGAACTCAGGTCCTTGTGCTTGCAGAGCAGGCTGAGGAACCACTAAGCTAAATCCCCAATCCAACCACAGTATCTTAACTATTTTACATCAAGGTTGATCTCAATAAGATTACAATTGACAAATGTTCCCCCACTAAGAACAGTGGCTGGGGCAAACGTGGTGGCACACACCTGTAATCCCAGCACTCAGTAGGCTGATACAAGAGGGTCCAATTCGAGTTTGAGGCCACCCTGGCCTACATAAGGACTTCAAGACCAATCTAGACTACAAAATAAGGCTCTATCTCAAACAAACAAACAAAAGCTCAGAAGGTGTTAAGCTGGGGCGGGAGGGGGGGATAATGTGGTCTTCAATAGCCATATGGAAGGACCCCTCCAGCTGCTGAGTGGAGGGTGTGTTGGAAGGGAGAGACTGAGGCCTGGAGGCCTGGGAAGAGGCTATAAAGGAGGAAAGGAGGCTACATGTAGGGCAATGGCTGAAGGGAAGGAGGAAGGTGTGAATTTGAGATTTAGGAGGCAGAGTGGCAGTAAACTCAAGAAGTTAAAGGTGGGCAGGATTGGGTGGACAGGAACTGAAACTGAGGTGGGGCCCACGGGCCAGCAGGACTAGTGCTCTCTGAAGGGCCCGTGGTCTAAGGGCGGGGGCATGGATCTGACAGTAGGCGCTGCACCTGGCACACCCAAAAGGCCATGAGTGTGTGTGAACTCCAGGGTGCTCTCCCCTCATCCAGCCCAGTTGGACTACTAATTGCAGTGCAGCCACCAGCAACCTGCCCAAAAGGAGAGGAGTCACAGGCGAAGGGTGCAGACACTTTGATTCTCCGTAGTTCCCCTCCCCAACTCCCTGTTTGGCCCTGGACAAGTTCCTACACCTCTCTGTGCCTCATATAAATCAGAAAAACTATCTTCCCCATCCATCTCCCAGAAGTTAAAGTGGGAAAACAAGTCTTCCTCTGGGTTTGGAAGACTCCTCTTCTTGGTTACTCTTAGTTCCCTGGAACAATCTGAGATGTCTCCTTCTTCTCCCTGTCTGCAGCAGGGGGACAGGCACATTGGCCTTTTTCGTGGAAGGTAGGGGTGACTCACATGCCCCAGGCTTCCCCTCTGCCTTATCACTCACCTGAATTAATCTGTGACTCACTAAACAAGTACCTGATGATGGGGTGGGTATGAATATTGGAGGGAGGCTGGCTAGCGCAAATCTGACTTCACAGGTCAAGAACTGAGCTGTCCTTGTGACCTGCTGCATGGATCCTTAGGGTTTGGTGTCTTGTTCTTTTTCCTCCCAAGCAAGGAGCTGGACAGAGGAAAATAAGGTCTTCAGCTAAACAGAATTTGGATTAAAAGAGGTCATCAATACCATAGCCAGAAAGGATTGAGAGTTTATTAAATTGCACTAGAAATAATTAGGTCACTAAGAACTGGGGAAACTGAAACCCCTTAAAAAGGAAAACTTTATTTAAAACCACAGAAGAAAATCAGGATTCCTGTATCCTACTTGAGAGCTTTTTCTTATCTGCTCTCCAAAACCAGTTTTTCCTTTTGCAGTAAATCAGAGCTGGAGGCAAAAACCTACACACACAAAGATTAGTCCATACAGACGTGTGCACACCCAACACACAGGACAACTCATGTAGTATGTCAGAGACTACCATGCAATCAGTGTACACCCATGGAATTAAGTGTGGCAGAGGCAGGCACACATTTTATCATCCCATGCACACTTATGAGGCTTCTTGTGAGATGCTTTCCCTCCCCTCCTGAGGTTCAGTTCCTGACCACTCATCCCCAGACTTCAGCCAAAGCCTGAGGACCTCCCTTCTCAATGAGTTGGGACCTAAACAGCCAGTGTCATATTGGGCTGAAGCAAGAAGCCAAGACAGTCTTCTGGGACCCCAGTCTCCCTGTCTATTTCCTGAAGACAATCTGAGGGAAGCAGGTGGAGCTGCCACATGAGAGAGTTAAGGCCAAGCAGGAGTGGAAAGCACAGGAAGTGGTGGTGTCATCCTTGGGCTTCTGAGTTCTCAGCCCTCTTCCTTTGCCACGTTGGGCACTGGCCACCTGACAGAGCCATTACCTTGCCCACTCTGTAAGTGAGGAGACTGAGCCCAACAAGAGGAAGTAACTTGTCCAGGACCACAGATTGTTCCAGACCAGCACTGCTGTCTGCACCTCCTAGAGCCACCTGCCTTAATATTGCCCAGGAGCAGATTCTACCTTCCCTTAGCAGGTAATCCAGAGCTAGGTTTGGAAAAGAGCCTGCAGCTTGATAGGACAGTTTGAAACTGCCAGCAATCTCTGACCCTCCCTGGAACTCATGGTGGGGACTGTGCAGAAATAATCTAAGGAACCCAGGGAAAGCAACAGAGGAAGAGCCAAGGATGACTGTGGACCACTGGCTACAAGGCTCTGCAACAAATGGGGTTGTTTCCCTTTACCCCAAATAAAGCTGGCATACCAATACTTGTTCATGAATGAACATATAGCAGAGAAATACACAGGCTTCCAGCTGCCACTGCCACTTTATTCTCTATGCTAATTTCAACTCTGGGCTGAGCTGTCCTATGACAGCAACAGTAGGGAGAGGCAGAGGTCCACAGAGACCAACAATTGAAACAAAACCTGGTTAAGTATGGTAGTACATACCTGTAATTCCAGCAAACTGGGAGGATGAGCCAGGAGAATCACAAGTTGGAGCCCAACCTGGACAACTTAGTGAGATCATTTCTCAAAATAAAGGGGCAGACAAATGCCCATCAACTGACAATGGATAAAGACATGGTTTTTTTTTTTTTTTAATACAGTGGAGTACTACTCTGCGATAATGGATGAGCTTAAGATATTTATCAATAAATGGATGCTCCTTAGACCATACCTTTTTTTTTTTTTTGGTACCGGGGATCGAACTCGGGACCTTGTGCTTTTGAGGCAAGCAGCGGAACCACTGAGCTAAATCCCCGTACCTAGACCATACTCTTAAGAGAAATTGGACACACGTTTAAATACCACATTGTTTCTCTAGTGTGAGAAACCTAAAGTGGAAATAAGGACTAAATTGTATAATAGATATTGGGAAATGGGAGGAAAGTGTTCAAATGAGAAGGGGAACAAGGAGAGGGAAGGAAGGGACAAGAAAAAGTGAAAATAGAAGGAAAGAATGGAAACAAAGCTTTTTTTTGGTACTGGGGACTGAACTCATGACCTTGAGGCAAGCACGGTGCCACAGAGCCAAATCCCCAGCCCAAAGCTTTGTATATAGGGTGGTAAGGGTGTCTAGGGGAGGGGGAATGGGAAAAAAAGACGAGGCATGGTATATCACATACAGGTGCAAATTCCCTATAAGTGTTATCATTATGTATATACAAAGTGTACCAATAAATGTTTTGCCTCAAAAAAAAAAAGGGAATGGGGGATCCTGGGGATGTAGCTCAGTGCAAAGACTCTGAGTTCAATTAATACCACCAAACAAAATAAAACACAACTGGGGACCGGAGTTCACACATGTGGCTTCTAATCATTGAGGATGGAGCTCCCTGGCAAGGAAGACATCAGATGGCGGGGCCACTCAGCCAGTTCAGATAACTGAAAGTACCTCCTTCACAGAGTTGGTCTGACCAAACCTCCATATATAATGGAAAATGAATCCCAGGCACAGTGCCCGGCAGCTGGTCTATTAGGTACTCATTGAACACCAACTTATTATATCTCAGGCTTTCTCTTCCACCAACACCCTACCTGCTCTCCACAAAGCTCATGGAGTCCTATTTCCTTGGGCCTTCATCTGCTTCGGCTGTACACATCTATGTGCTACTTGAGCAAAGCCTCAAACTAAGTGCCATGAAAGACACTAAGAAATCTGAGTTCAGACATGTTCCATGCCCTTACAAAGTTTATACAGTTTAAAACCGTAGAGAGTGGTTCTGCTGCCTGCCTTGCAAACGCAAGGTCCCGAGTTCAATCCCTGGTACACACACACACACACAAACTGTATAGAAAGGGGAGACAAACCAAGAACATGGACAAAATTAAGGATTTTAATTTTAAATGAGGGTTCAAGAAAAGGGTTCACACTGCTGTGCATGGCTGCACTCAACAGGGAATAACTGCTTTCACCTCAGCAGGGAAAGGGCACCTCAGGCTAGGGGCGAAGGCACGGCTTAGGAGGGGCACTATTTGAGCTGAGTCTGGAAAAACTGCCATGATTACAGGAAACAGGAGCAGGGAGCAGCTGCCAGAAAAGGGGTGTGAACTACACTGAAAGAGGCCATATTCCCCCTCCCCTGGGGCCCCAGGGGAGCAGGACTTGGGTACTCATCTCTGCAACTCCACTGCAAGTACATAGCAGGGCCAGTCTGACACGAATGGGCAGCTGTACAGAGCTGGTGGAACTCGGACACGGACAGGCTAGGGGGTAGCACCAATGGCTTCTATATCTGTCCTGGACTGGGGGACCACCTGACCCTTTAACCCACCCAGCTCCTTCCTGTTCTGCCCTTTTCCACTTTCTCCACTCCAGGAAGCAGTAGCACCAACATAGGACGGCATTGTGTGCTTTCAATGTGGTCTATTTATGTACACGTAGCCCTGTTTCCACTGCTCAGTGCTGGTGCTATGACTCTGAGGAAGCACCACACCTTTGGGACCCATCTGAAGGCCTGATACTACAGTGAAGGGCACAATGAGATCTGGGCATATGTCCTGCCGGGATGGGGACAGAGCCTCCAACCCAGGCACACAGCCTCTTCTCCAACTGCTTCTGGGAGAAGGCTAAGAGGGGGGAAAAAAGTAAAGGTCCAGGCCCAGTGCTGACAGGTGATAGTCTCCTAGATTCAGTTCCCTCTGAGTTAGCTCCTAGTCCTCTTCTTGCTGTTCAGGTGATCAGGCCCAGGGAACTACAAGACACCATGGTCCTGCCTCAGTGCCGAAGCAATAGACAGAAAATAGGGTCAGGACTTTCTTTGAGGATGATTTGGTGTGTTCAGGCCATCAGGCCGTTTACGGAGGGTCCATATGCAATGACATCTTGCTCCTGAGGTTCACCAACTGCTTGCTCCAAAGCTGGGATCACACAGTCCACCTTTCACTTCGGGCCTCCACAGCCTGCACCAGGCCTTCACCCAACACAGCAAAGTCCTCCAAGATTGCTTCTACATTGGGCACCATCACCAGCTCCTCACCTTGAGACACCACCATGCGGCCCTTGGTGCTAGAAGCCTGGGGCAATCAGAAAAGAAACATGGGTTGAGGTGTCACAGAGGCATACCCAGAGACACCAGGCTGGGGACAGAGTCAGGGTGGTAGAGAAAGATACATGAACCCACAGACCACACTGACCCAGGGGCATTCATGGAGCAGACTACACACAGACACACATGCCCACAAGGCATGACATACACACACTACAGCACAGAGTATAACACATGGCTATACCGGCCAGAGTACCTTGAAGGGCTGGGGCTGGAAGCTGGTGGGCTTCCAGAGTACACCAATCACCTCTCCACCATGCTGGTCATAGAAGAAAAGGGCCAGATCCCCAAAGGCCTCCTAGGAAGGGACAAAAGAGACAAGACTACAGGTGGGCCCTTGTTCCACCTGGAAGTCCCTTCCCCAGGTCAGCCAACCCTGGAAGACCCACCCTGAGCTGTGCCAGATAAAGCTGAGGAGGATCATAACCCAGCACTGGCATCAGCGATGAGGGCTGTGGCTCCCTGAGCAGGCCACGGCAGAAGGAGGCAGCTGGACAGTCCACAGCCTGGCGGTGCCGAGGAATGTGGCGGGGAGACAGGCGGATCAGCACATCATATATGTCCAAGGGTGGCCGGAACACTGTCTAAGGAAGAAGACAGAGAGGGGTTAGCAGCTCCAACTTAAATTAGCCTTCCACATGCACACCGTGCTTCTTCCTTCCTTTCCCTGTGTCTGACCATCCATTATAGGCCTGTGTGCCCACTTGAAGGCAGAACACCAATACTCACAGAAGGCAGCAAGCAGACCAGAGGCTAGAAGGAGGAGACCTAGTGGAGCCCAGGTTCTTCTCTAGGATCCACCACTGCCAGTCTCACCAAACAAGGGGACCAGGCCTCTTGTGAGGGCCCCCTGAAGTCTGGACTTCCAAGGTTCAAAGACAGAAGCCCAAGAGCTCCTGGAGTTGCTGTCTATCAGAGGCTTACCCTGATGTCCCCAGGTCCCCGGGGATCCATCAGCTGCTTCTCCAGAATAGGCAGAGCCTCAGCTGCTAGAATCACAAGCCGCTGAAGGATCTGGGGGGTACAGAAACATCAGACCAGAACTGACCATGTCTTTCTCCTCGTTTAGGCTGGGCCACTTTCTTCTTGGGGTAGAAAATTCAAATTTGGGGGTAGATATGGGGTTGAACCTGGGCTGAAGGTCCATCCTGCGTCCACACAGAGCCTTTGTGGTCCTGAGGAGTAATGAGGACCATAACAGGGAGTCGTGTCCGAGCTGCCAGGAAACCACTGCGGATCTCCACCTGCTCCTCCGCTAGAGACAAGATGGGTTCCTGGGTCACCCTATCCCTTCCCAAAAGACACCTGCTATTGCCCCAAGTCCTCCTACTGTACACTCAGCACCTGCTTATCACAGATTTTCCAATACCCCTTCCTCAAGGAGCAAAGGTGAGGAAAGGGACACATTTGTCTTAGCTGAAGGATGTTAATCTCCCCTCAGCCCAGAGGCAGAATTTTCCATTGCCTGGCACCCCCAGGCTGCTTTCCGGACCTGCACAAGCTGAGGCCTGCTCCTGGTCCCCTCCTACTCTGGGCTCCCACACCTGGAGAATTAGGAACCTGACACCCTGCTCTCTGCTGAGATCCACACAGCTCCTCAGATTACAACTGGAAATTGCCATTCCTACCCCCCAATAGGTGTGGGCTACGAATTTATACTTCCTTGCTTCCCACATAAGACTTGGTGGTCTGGATCCCCTGCCTTTTCTGCGCTGCCCTCCACAGCCTCTCCAGTGGCCTCCTTACCACCCTGTCCAGTCTGTCTCCAACCACCACTTGGGCAAGCCACGCTCAACAGCCAAGCTTGACCTGGGTCTTTCCCGCTTTATAACTCCTCTACAACTTTCTGAGATAATCAGGTTTAGATATCCAAAACAGGGTAGGCACAGAGAAAACCTAACAGACTGACAAGGAAAACCTTGCCTACCTGTCCTACTCTACGATCCATATTGGCTATTTCTTCCAGCACTCCCACTCCCTACCACTTACCCTTGAGCTCACTATTAAGGTTGATAATGAGGGGATTGTTCTTCCAATCAAAGGTTGATAGCAGGGAAAGGAATCGAAGGAAGCCAACCTGGGGGGAGCTGAGTGGAAAGAGTGAGAATGAGTCTGGCTCTGCCACACCCCTCTCCCAGGATTTTCCACAATCTAGGGTACCCCGACCTCTTAGTATGGACTGTGGGAGGCACTGTGTCTAAGAACAGCCTCCATCCCTTCTTCAGCCAGACCCTCTCCCATTTGGACTGAGGGTGCTGCATGAAGGATGAAAGCTGGCCCCAAAGGAGACTTCCTGAGTAGGGAGAAGGTGGAGGGAATTACCTGGGAGGGGTGAAGGGCTCAGGGTGCAGGAAAAGGGCAGCAGTCACCAGATCCAGGCTCTCATCATTGACTCCCTCACCCAGAAGCTGGGCACGCACCCACCGCTTGGCCAGCCGAGCTACACCGGAGAAGGCTGGGTGCTGCTGTTGAAGTCTGGGAGTGGAAGAGTAATGGCAGTGAGATTCAGGAACTCAGAGCTCAGGATCTATGTCTTAGCCTCGCTGCTATTATTTACTTAACCCTTACCCAATGCTGGCCTCTATGCTAATGTGTTACATATGTTTTCTCACATCTTCCTAATAAATGTCCTAAAAAATTGACCCTACAGATGAGAAAAAGAAATTCTGGGGGAAAATCTGCTCCAAGTGGCAGGATCATGATTCTAGAACTTACACCCCTACCTATTATACCATCTGACTTCACAGAGAAAAAGGCAGCCAGGTAAACAGAATAGGGGCAGGATAATGAACACAGATGTAAAAGTCCTCAATAAGATACTTGCAAATGGAATGCAGCAATCATCAAGATGGATGACACCATGACCAAGTAGGACTCATCCCAGGGATGCAGGGATGGTTCAATACATGCAAATCAATAATATACCATAGGGCCAGGGATTTAGCTCAGTGGTTTCGTCGCACAAGGACCCAAGTTTGATCCCCGGCACCAAAACAAAACAAAATAATACACCATATTAGCAGAGTCAAGGACAAAACTCACATGACCATCTCAATAGATGCAGAAAAAGCATTTGACCAAGTCCAACACCCATTCATGATAAAAACTCTAAAGAAAACTGGAATAGATCTTTATCTCAATCTGATAAAAGCCATCTATGACAAACCAACAGCCAACAACATACTAAATGGACAAAAACTGAAAGCTTTCACTTTCACTCTAAAATCAGGAACAAGACAAGAATGTCCACTGTCACCACTCTTATTCAATATAGTTCTGGAAACATTAACCAGAGCAATTAGACAAGAGAAAGAAAAAAAAGGAATAAGGATAGGAAAGGAAGAAATTAAATTATCATTATTTGCATATGACATGATACTCTACATAGAAGACCCCAAAAACTCCACCAAAAGGCTTCTAGATTTCATAACCAAATTCAGTGGCGTAGCTGGATACAAACTCAACACTCAAAAATTAATAGCCTTCTTGTACACAAATAACAAATTCACTGAGAGAGAATTTAGGCAAACAACCTTTCACAATAGCATCCAAAAAAATGAAATACTTAGGGATCAATCTAACGTAGTAAGGTAGTAAAAAGACTTTTACATGGAAAACTACAGTACTTTGAAAGAGTAGATCAGGGATGGGGATTTAGCTCAGTGGTGCCATGCCTACCTGGCAAGCATAAGGTCCTGAGTTCAATCAATAGTAAGGGGGGAGGGGAAGGAAATCAAAGAGGATATCAGAAAATGGAAAGATATCCCTTGTTCTTGGGTAGGAAGAACCAATATAGTGAAAATGGCCATACTTCCAAAATTGTTATACAGATTTAATGTAATCTCAATCAAAATATCAACAGTATATCTCACAGTATTAGAGAAAACAATCCTAAAATTTGTTTGGAACCAGATAAGACCTAGAATAGCAAAAGCAATTCTGGGCAACAAAGGTAAGGCAGGAGGCATCACAATCCCTGGCTTGAAATTATACTACAGAGCTACTGTGATAAAATCAGCAATGGGACTGGCAAAAAAAACATATCTGAGGATCAATGAAACAGATTAGAAGATGCAGAAACAACTTCAAACATATTCAGCTACCTTATCTTTGACAAAGAAGCCAAACACCTTCACTGGAAGAGATAGCCTCTTTACTAAATGCTGCTGGAAAAACTGGCTTTCCACATACCAAAGATTAAAACTAGACCTATATCTCTTACCACACACTGAACTAAAATCAAAATGGATCAAAGACCTAAATATTAAAACAGAAACACTAAATTTGCTGGAAGATAGAATAGGCAGAACTCTTGAAGACATAGATGTAGGCAAAGTTTATGAACAAAACCCCGATCGCACAGGAAATATCACAAAGAATCAATGACTGGGATCTTATGTCATTAAAAATCTTTTGCACATACAAGCACCCAATGATAAACATAAACGTATTGTATACCTAAAATGTATCAATAAAATAATTTTTAAAAAATTTTGCACAGCAAAAGAAATCATCAACAAAGTGAGGAGACAACCTACAATGTGGGAAAAAAATTTTGCCATCTGTTCCTCAAAGGACTAATACCTAGAATAAGAAAGGAACTAAAAAAAAATAAAATTCAGACCCCCCCAAATTTAAAGACCCAATCCAAAAACGGGCATCTAAAATGAATAGATACTTCTCAGATGAGATGAAGTAGAAAAGGCAAATATATGAAAAAATGTTCAACATCATGGGTCATTTGAGAGACGCAAATTAAAACAACTCTGAGATTCCATCTCCAGAAAGATTGGCTGTTATCAAGAAATCAACCAATAACAAATGCTGGCAGGGCTGTGGGGAAAAGGAACTATTCTCCACTGTTAGTGGGAGTGTAGACTGGAGCAACCACTGTGGAAATCAGTGTGGAGATACCTCAAAAAACTAAAACTAGAGGGCCGGGGATTTAGCTCAGTGGTGTCACATCTGCCTCACAAGTGCAAGATCCTGAGTTCAAATCCCAGTACCAAAAAAAAAACCCCCAAAAAACTAAAACTAGAGGTTCCATTCAACCCAGCTATTCCCCTTCTTGGAATGTTCCTGAAAGAATTAAAAGCATTATACCACAGTGATCTATGCACACCCAAGTTCACAGCAGCACAGTTTGTAATAGCTAAATCTTGGAAACAGCCCAAATGTCCACCAACTGATGAATGGATAAAGATGTGGCTTTTTTAATACAATGGAGTACTACTCTGCCATAAAGAATAAGATTAAGACATTTAGGGGGTGGGGATTTAGCTCAGTGGTTCTGCTGCCTGCCCCACAAGCACAAGGACCAGAGTTCGATCCCTGGTACCAAAAAACAAAGATTAAGACGTTTCTAGCTAAATGGATGCACCTTGAGACCATACTCTTAAGTAAAATAAATTGGGGATACACATGTTTAAATATGGCATTGTTTCTCTGGTGTGATAAACCGAAGGTGGAAATAAAGACCAAAATGTATAATAGATATTGGGAAATGGGAGAAAAATTATTCAAATGAGAAGGGGAACAAGGGAGGGGGAAGGAGAAAGGAAAGAAGGGACAAGGAAAAAATGGAAACAAAGCTTTTGCAATTAAGGAGGGGAAAAGGGATCAAAGGGAGGGGAAAGGGAAAAAGAGAAGCAGCAAGCTATATCATGTACAGGTACAAAATATCATTATGTATATCTAAACTGTACCAATAAATATTTTGCTTTTAAAAAAAAGGAATAGGGGCAGGAAAAGGCATACCCATGCAGAACACTGGTGAGCAGGGGCAACTGCTTTGTGTCTCTTTCAAGGCAGAGGGAGGCAGGTGTGTCCCTGAGAGAGATCATCCCCTCGGGGCTGTGCACCTCCCTCAAGATCTGTGGCTCCCGCTGATAGGCCACGCGGATCCGGAACACAAACCCATCCTATTGGTACAGAGTTCGAGATGGGAAGTGAATGTCAGTCTGGGACCTGGGGTTGCTCCACTGCCTACATGCTCCCCAGCCCAGTACCTATAGGGCCTCCTCCCATACACCCTGACATCCCCAGAGCCTCTCCCTGGGGGATTCCATGCCCAGCACCAGCCTGACCTTGAGGACATCAGTGTGTGTGGCGGTGGCACGGCACTGCAGTCCATGTTGCTGTGTCAGCAGCTCTGCCAGGCGCAGCTGGAAGGCAGCTCTGACCCGCCGCACAGCCTCAGCATCCTGAGGCCACTGACCGCTGCCCTCCAGGTGACAGACCACTGAGGGAGAAGAATAAGAAGTCTCATGCTGGCCAGGGATTTAGCTTAGTGGTTCCACCACTTGCCTCACAAGTGCAAGGTCCCGAGTTCAATCCCCAGTACCAAAAAAGAAAAGAAGTCTCATGCTGCAGCCCAAAGTAGAACTGTCCTCCCGCTTGCTCCAAAGGGCCCCCTTACCAGTCATGGGCTCCACATATGCTGGGCAGGGCTTATCAGGCCGGGGCAATAGCGAGGCCCGCTCTCGGAGGTGTTCATGAAAGGAGTAGGCGGGTCGGGCTGGGGTTGGTGGGAATACCTGTGAAAGAAGGAGGCTGAGGAAGTTGCCTAGGACTGAGTGTCCTGAGGAAGGAGGTAGAAGGGACTGGAGCAGAGCTGAGAGTTGCCAAGCAGAAAGGGCTCCCTGCCTCCTTGTACCATACCTCTGTGTAGCGCAGCACTGGGTGGGCTCCCTGAACAGCAGACACAGTCAGAGGGAGACCCTCCAGGCCCCACAGCAGACGGCTAAGGTCGTCATAGCAACGCACTGCCTCTGTGAGGGCCTCCTCTCCTGTGCTAGAAGTCTGTGGGGGAAAAGGAGAAGACAGGAGGCTGGATCCTACAAAACCACAGCACCTCCTGGGATCCCACCTTGGCTCAGGTTGCAGCAGAGCCAGCACTCCCCCTGCTGACCAGCCTGGGAACTGCAACCTGGCTCAGTCTGGAAAGGGAACCCTTTCCACAGCCTTGCCACCGGGGTTACTCTATAATCTGCAGGTTTCACCCAAAGGCCCTTACCTCTTTTGGGCCTTGGATCAGTGCATCCAGGAAGCCCCCCACATAGTGGACACAGGTATCTGGGATGTCAGCATGGCTGAAGAAGGAACACAGACACAGTGGGGGCATCAGGGGCTATGCCCCAGCAGATAAGCTTCTAACCCCAATAGTCTGGGTCAGATCCTTCTAAAAGGCTCCCTAGCCCATGGTTGCCTCCTGGCATGCAGATGGTGATACTCACAGTGCCAAGAGGTGGGTGACCACCTGATGGGGGATAAGACGCTTCTGGTATAGAGAGGCTGCCTCCCAGACCACAGCTTCCCGAATGGCTCCATCCTGGAAGCGTCGAAGCTCTGAGCGGGGTCCCCAAAACTGGCGGAAGTCAGCAGCCTGAGAAGAGACAAGGGATGGTAGAAATGAATGAAAAAGAAAGGCTGTTTCAGAAAACCTGACAGGCCTCAACCCAGGCAGCATGAGGACTATCCACTCCCTCCCTCCAATGTACATGCTGGGGTTCCTCACCTCAGGCTGGTCAGCCTCTGGACCCAGCTCGAGGACACTGGTCAGTCCCTCAGGCTGGAGGAGCAATCCCAAGGTCAGGGTCCCACAGTCTTTGTGTTTTGGTGGATCTTGGCTAATGTTCCACTGTAGGGTATAAAAAACCTAAGCTCAACCCAAGAATTCCTCAGGCTGGCCAGAAACAGACTTTCCAGCTAGCCAAAAAGGTCAGCCTTTCATGCCGAAGGATGGCAAGCCCTTTGTGTACCCTGGATCCCTGGAAAGCCCCACTCACTCTCCATCCCATACCAAATCACCTCTGGGACTGAGGGCCGAGAGTGAGCCAGCAGCTGCAGTCGGCTTCCCAGACCCTGCTTCAGGAGGGTGGTTAGTGGGCCCAAAACAGCTGAGACATAGTCTCCACCACTGTCCTGCAGTTCTGGACAGAGCTTTAGCCGGTGACACGCTGCCTGCAGGCGACTCAGTGGATGGAGACTAGAGGGGCAGAGGACAAAGAAGGGGAATCAAGGTATGCTGGTCTAGTGTTCTAGCTCCCCCTTGGGAAATCTGAGCATCTGCCTAAGGACCTTCACCCCACTGCTCCCAGGAAGACAGGACCTGCCAACATACCCTGTCACCCCTAAACTCACTGCAGGATGTGGTCAAAAGACCGGACCATAGGTTTGGGAGTCATCAATAGCAGCTGGAATCCGTCGTCAGCTTTGCTGTCCAGCAACACCATAGATAGCCTCGCCTCATGCTGCACCTGAGGTCAAAGAGTAAGGAGGATCCATCACTGTACCCTCTTTGACCAAGGGCTCAGACCAGGACATGTGCCTGACCTTACCTCTTTGGAGGACTTTCTGGGGGTACTGCTGACAGAGTCTAAGCTGGGATAGCTAAAGAATGTAGGAGTGAGGGCCCGCTGGTACCTGGTGGTAAGTGGAGGCAGTGACATCAGCGCAGAGGTTGAGAAGGCCTGAAGAGTCCAGGAAGACAACGGGGAAGGCTTGGTGGAAGTCAGCCAGGGCCGGCTTGGAGGGTAGAGAGAAACCATTCAGGGTTGGGCTTTCCCTGCAGGCCTCCTGGCACAGACCTGGCCCTTCCCCAACTCACCAAGGAGGGATCTGAGCTGAGACATAAACTGATTCCATTAACTGTCAGATCTGTGGTGACTGGAGTGAACCAGAAAAGGGGTGTCAGAAGGAGTCCCCTCCCTGGAGACCCGGCCATAATGACACCCTCCCCCAGTCTAGTGGCTGCAACCACCTGCCTCTAGGATTTGACTGGCTCATCTGTCTGACAGCAAGGAACCAAAGGATTCCTGGGATCAGTAAAACCCATTCCCCAGTTTAGCCGCCTCACCCAGAAACTGCAAGACACTTCTCAGGACCTGGTAGCCACTCATGGTAGTGTGGATCTTGCGTGTGGACACGAGGAAGGCAACCAGCATGGAGATAAGGAACCCATTAAACCCACCCAGGCCCTAAAACAGAGAAGAGGTCTTAGCTCAAAGCCAGCCCATCATACAGCAAGGCAGGGAGGCTGGGCCACCCTGATCTCACCTTGTCCAGCTCCCGCTGCCGCAGCCAGACCTTCAGAAGTGTCACACCGTCCTTCAGCCCCTGGGCAGAGCTCAGCACAGTTGAAAGCAGCTGCATATGAGACTCAAGAGCTGTATCCTGCAGGACCCATGTGTTATAGTGGGGGGTAGGGGGCTCTGGTTTACCTGAGGGGAAAAGGGAAACCATGAAATAAGAAGTCACCACACCCTTCCCTCTAGCACCACCTCAACACCAGTGCTTGCTCACCATCCCCTAGATGACTCTGTCCTTGGTACCAGGTGGAGCGCACATTGTTCTTAGTTGGCAGCAAGCGACATGGACGGAAAAAGTTAGGCGGAGGGCACGGATATAGGCGTACAGTGACCAAGTGCTCATCCTTTCCTGGGTAGAAACAGGAAGTGCTAAGACCCTGCAACTCCTGGAACCAGAGAAGTCCCCACTCCACCCTTCTCATACCTGAGGACACCATGCCTTCCCACCAAAATGTGAGGTCCCTATCTTGCCCTTCAAACTTGAGACCCATGCCTCTCACTATGGCCATGAGAATCATTCCTACTCCCCTACTCATGAGAACCCTGGGTTTCTCCCTCTAAGTCTGTGCCCTTAGCCCAGTGTATGCTTCCCACCACGTGGCCGAAGCAGCAGCAATGGTTTCAGGTGGCAGCCATTGGTGTAGGAGAAGTGAACACTGCCAAACAGGGGGTCTCGGGCCAGGTGGTGAGCCAAGTGGGCCAGGTAAAGAGCACGCTTTCGGAAATAACGCTGGTTCAGCAGGTCCTTGTCCTGTAGGATTTCCTGAAGGGGCCAAAGGAGAGAGAAGGGAAGGCACATAAATGCTTTCAGGGTTTGAGGGTTAAGAAACAGCAAAGTGAGAGTCCTGGGCCTCTCTGCTGACTGTAGAGTGCCTGAGCCAGGGCTAGTAACACCATACTCAATTCTCAAATGAAGAAAGAAACATTCCAAAAGGGTAGCAACTCCCCAACAGCCCTTCTAGGGTACCCTAAAGATGACTGCAGTGGTCTGCTCTTTTGATTTAGAATTCAGATTTCAACCCCATGGCAAGTGGCAAGTGAAAAAAAGTGACCCAGGGATTTGTAAGTGGTCAGGTATTGGGCCTTCTACCCCCAAACCCTAAACCTTACCATGGGCATAGTGAGTGCCATATCCACATTGATGTTGGGCCGGATACAGGTGCCCAGAAGGTAGCTGCCCACAACAGTGACCTGGGCTGGAGGTAAGAAGCAGAAAGAGCCCTTCACAGTATAGGGCACTTGGTGGAGGGGGACTCGAACTCCAGCTGGGAGCCATGCCTGGTCAATTAGCTGTAGGGGTAGAGAGAGTGACACACGTTGATTCTAATGCCAAGCTCACATGGATAACATTTTCTTTATTCTAATGGATTTGCCACCAGAACAAGTAATGAGAAAACTATAGCTAAAATAAGATGGATGTGATGGTGCACTCCTGTAATCCCAGCATTCAGGAGGCTGAGGCAGGAAGACTGGCATGAATTCAAGGCCGTCCTGGGCTACATAGTGAGTCTGAGGCCAGCCTGAATGACATAGTGAGACCTTGTTTCAAAAAATCAGAATACATAAAATAAAAAAATAAAATAAAATAATATGAGGAAGGAAAACACTCATATCAACGCTGTTATCACTGGACACAGATCCAGGGCAAGTCTATCACTCCTGGGCATCTCATCTACAAATGTGGTGGGACTGACTGAAGAACCACTGAGAGGGGGACCCCTGCAATCCCAGCAGGGATGCTGAGGCAGGAGATCATCAGTTTGAAGGCAGCCTGGGCTAAACAGTGAAACTCTATCACCAAAAACCCAAACACTCAGATAAACGAACACTTGAAAAATCTGAGGAGGTTGCTGATAAAGGCTCCCTCAAGCCAGTCTGGTTTGCCAAGCATGGCGGCACATGCCTACAATCCAACTACTGGGGAAGCTGGGGAAAGACTGTGACTTTAAGGTAAACCTGCACAATTTAGTGACACTGTCTCAAAATAAAGTACAAAAAGAAATAAATGGGCATGGTGGCACATGCCTGTAATCCCAGCACTCAGGATGCTCAGGCAGGAGGACCACTGTGAGTTTGAAGCCAGCCTGAACTACATAGAGACTCTGTCTCAATAAATAAATAAAATAAAAATTTTAAAAAGGAAGGGGATATAGCTCAGTGGCACAGAATTTACCTAACAAGCCTGAGGCCTTGGGTTTAATCTCCAATACAAAACAAGAGTGTGGATTAGCTAAAAGCTGAGCATGAGAGAAGTATCATCAGTGCTATCTCCCCATGGAAATTTGAGACCAGCTGCATTATATGAATGTCATTGACGCCCTATAACAGTGATGGTGAACCTTTTAGAGACAAGTACCTGAACTACCCCCACAAAACCCACTTATTTATCACAAAGTATCAACACTGAAATTAAACCCAAATACTGAGGTTTTTAGTTTAGAAAAAACAATGCATACATTAACATCTTTTGTCTAAAAAGAAAACAAATAACATGTGCCATAGGTTCGCCATCACTGCCAAGAATAGAGAGACTTTACAAGAAACATGGTTATAGGCACATCTCAGGCTGACTGTGATGTCCTAGTTGTTGCACTGGATTGTAACCACCAACTCATCACAAACCTTTGTGTCTATCCCTCTACAATACCTACAGTTGGTGACACTGGGACCATTCCTACGAGCCAAGTGGGGACATGAGTTCTCAAACCCAGTATGGTTGTGACAACATCACAACTGAAAGTAAAAAGTAAAGTCTGTTGACATGTACCATGAAGTTTGAGTGAAGCTCTTCCTGGGGACAGTGTAAACATGTCTATTGGGCTAAACATGTTTGGCATACACCAGGCCAAGTTCACCCTCAGCACCAAAAATATAAAACGTGTGTCAAGATGTTTGTTGTGGCACTGTTGGTGGTGACAGCAAATATGAGCCATAAATAAGGGCTGAGATTTAGCTTAGTGGCACCTTGCCTGCCTGACAAGCTCAAGGTCCTGAGTTCAATCCCTGGTACCTGCCCCCCAAACATTTTTTTTTAAAAGCCATAAATAAAAGGAGTAGGGTTCATTGCTCAAGTGATTATCCTGAAATATGGCCTCAAACCTATGATTTCTTGCTTCAACATCCCACATGCAGGGATTACAGGGCTGCACCACCATGCCCGGCTCTCAATGGTATCCTGATCCTCCTGGCTGTGCCCTTGTACTGGAGTGTCATACAGGTCTTTTATTTATTTATTTGGTTTTTTGAGACAGGGTCTCACTGTGTAATTTAGGCTGGCCTTGACTATGTATCCCAGACTGGCCTCAAACTCACAGCAATCCTGCCTCAGTCTCCCGAGTGCTGGGATTACAGGCACATGCCACCACCCTGGCTGCCCTAAGTTCTTGTTGCTTTGTTTTTGCAGTACTAGAGACTGAATCTAGCACTGAGCTCTAGACCCTGCACACTTTAAATTTAATTTGAGATAGGATCTTGCTCAGATGCCCAGGCTGGGCTGGAACTTGAGATCTTCCTGCTGCAATCTCCCAGAGTACTGGGATTATAGGAGTGTGCCACTATGCCCAGCAAAGAAGGCCCTAAATTCTTGAAATTTAGTAATACTGTCCATCCCTGCAATTCCTGGAAAGTCTGTATCTGTTGACAGTTTATTTTCCTGAGGCATTTTGCCATTTGTGAGACAGATATGTTCTGTGGTTTTTAGCTTAGTTGTGGACAAGAGGCCTGCTGGAGCTGGCAGTCACCAATACTGCAAGAAAGCTAAATGAGCCAGCACATTCCCATAATCTCAGCACTCTGGAAGGCTGAGGCAGGAGGTTCACAAGTTTGAGCCCTGCCTGGACAACTTATCTTATCAAAACTATGTTTCAAAATAAAATATTTTGGGGGCTGGGGATTTAGTTCAGTGGTTTCGCTGCTTGCTATGCAAGCGCAAGGACCCGAGTTTGATCCCCTGTACCAAAAAAAATAATAATAATAAAATAAAAAAAAATAAAATATTTTTTAGCTAGGTATGGTGGCACCTGCCTGTGATCTCAGCACTCAGGAGGCTGAGACAGGAAGATTGCCATGAGTCTGAGGCCAGCCTGGGATACATAGTGAGTTCAAAGACAGTCTGAATTACAGAGTGAGACCCTGTCTAAAAAAAAATTTTTTTAAAGGGTTGGAGATGTAGGTCAGTGTGAATGGTCTGGGTTCAATCCCCAGTACCACTGGAACTGCCCCCAGCAAAACAACTTTTAAGTTCAAGAAAGCCGGGTGTAGTGGTGCATACCTGTAACCCCAGCACTAGCACTCGGAGGTTAAGGCAGGAGGACTGTCACAAGTTCAAGGCCAGTCTCAACTACATAAGGTTTTCTGGGACCCTGACTCAAAAAACAAAAGATAAATGAATAAACAAACACAAAGCAAACATATCTATATGGCTAGCCAAACTCAAATCTTTATACAGCTGAGCTTCCTTACAGTGTGAATGAGTTCCCTAGGACCCCAACCCCTCAAGGGAATAGCAAGGCCCCCACTGAAGGCCCCACATTCCAGTTCCCCAGGCTTCCTGCCTTACCTCTGTCTCAGGGATCGAAGGCACCTTCTTGATACACTGGTTGACCTCCCGCAGAAAGACACCAATCCGATCCTTCTTCTTCTCTGACAGCCTTATTTCCTTTAGTAGCTCCTCTACCTGTAAGGGGAAAAAGGGAGAATCCATTGGCCTCAGGGTCTCAGGCAAGTTCTTCTAACCCAAGCACAACCACCCAACAGTACTTGTAAACGAAGCAAGCTGGAGTGGAACAGGATCTCAGTTTCCCGAAGGCGATTCAGCTCTTCATTGGTAGGCTCCTTGTACAGTTCTTCCCGGCTGAGCTTCACGGGCTGCAGGAGGCTCTCTGCTGGGGACCCAGGCACTGAGCGCTTTCTTTTAGACATCTTCCTCCCCTCCTGGACTGCGCCTTCCAGGGCTGGTTCCATCACCTGTGGCCAGAGAAGGAGAAACCAATGTAAAGTCACAGGTACCCTAGCATCTTCTACCTAAAGGGGCACCATGAAAGGCTGTGGGTAAAGGCTTCACCTGCTCCTGTTCCTCTTAGATTGGGTGTCAGATTCGATACAATTTAGAATTACCGTGACTTGAAGAAACATTACTGAGCCCTATACTGAAAAAGCCTGGAGCTTTGCTTGGAGTTCATAGAGGTACCCCAAGCAGTGCCCAAAGCCCCTTTATTTTCAGGCACTATGAATCCCTAAGTTTTCTGCTTACAGTCTTGGGACTTCTCAAATGCCCCCTCCATTCTCACTCTATCCAAATCTTGCCAGGTTCACCTCCGCTAGCAATTCCACAGTTTCAGTATCCTTGGCTGGAAAAACTGTGGGAACGAGACTCTTCCAGAGTAACCCGCCTTCATGTCCCTTCCCAGATAGCTGTCAGGCCAGGCCTGCCATCTCTGGCTCTGCAGCCGAAGGAGCTCACTTTAAGGCTCTCTTCCTCCTAGCGAGCTCAACCTACCTCTGGCTCCCCAGCCGTTCTGCGCAGGTGTTCTCCGGCGGGGGCTGGCCCCATTACCTCAGGTCGCTCTACTGAACTTCACATTCAAGCCGAGTCTACGCCACGTAGATCACCACGTGCGCAGAAACGCAGAACTCCGGGCCTGAACTAGGGAAGCGGAGTTCCGCAGAATTCCACCCATTCCAGAGCCATTGGGTAACTGTCCGTTCTGCCCCTCACCATTGGTCAGTTTTCTCTAGGGCCGCCCATTGTGGGAGGGGCTACACGAGGTTCTCTGATTTACGCCCTCTTTGCGACACTATACCGGAAGCCTGCCGGTAGCTAGACCAACACTTCTTTTTCCTCACTTCCTCTATTTGAGGACCAAACCTGAAGGGCGGAGCTCATTTAGGCCCTCTGGTGGGGGTTTCTTTATTTACACTAGTAATTCCTCCCCTTTTCCTCCTGTACCGCGCCTAATGTATTTACAGAGCTTGTCATTTCTACCTGCAAAAGGTATCTTACATTTATTCATTTTTCCCTGTTTTTACAGGCAGGTTTAGTCATAGGTAATGTCATCTTTTTTTTTTTTTTTGGTAATGTCATCTTGTGCCTAGATACTGTAAACATTCTTCATCGTCGTTTACTTATTATTAAAATATTAAATAATTTTTTTTGTTTTGGTTTGGTTTTTGGTTTCTTCAGACACGGTCCTGTTATGTAACTCGGGCTGCTGTTGAGCTGGCTATGTAATCTGGGCTCGCCTTGAACTCAATGATCCTCCTGTCTCAGCCTCACAAGTGCTGAGTGGCAAATTTAATTATTGTTAAATTTTAGCAGGGAGTGGTGGCGCACACCTGTGATCCCAGAACTCAGGAGGCTGAGGCAGGAGGATTGATATGAGTTTGAGGCCAGCCTGGGCAACATAGTGAGTTCAAGGAGGGACTTGAACTACAAAGTGAGACTCTGTTTCAAAACAAACAATATAAGTAAATAAAAATTTTAAAAACTTTTGTTTTGAGACAGGGTCTTGCTATGTAGTCCAGGCTGGCTTCAAACTCACATCGATCCTTTTGCCTCAGCTTCCTGAGTGCTGGGATCACAAGTGTGT